GCCAACATGTTTTAAGTTATTTAATTCTGGCTGGGGAATTCTGGGACTTGAAGTCCCCAACTCTTAAAAGTTACCAAGTTTGCAGATCCCTGATCTATACGATCCCCAAATGAATCGATTTGGGCCAGTTCCTTTCTCTCTCCATCAAGCCTACGTTGGATTGTTGGGATAATAGGGGGAAAAAATCAGAGGGAGACACACACACACACAAGCACAAACACACACACAATCTTGAGAGGCCAGGAGATAAATATAATGTATAAAAAAAAGGATACTTCTTCCAAAGTATCGTCATAGTCTAATCGTGATTTCTAATTTTCCCTCTTCTATGGAGTCACTGCCCAATTGCAGATGATAAATAAGATAAACGCTTGGGAAATATACTTAAATTTTGCAAAGCGCTCACGAAAAGCTGGCAATAAGAAGGCAAGAGGACTCAAAGCTGTAAAAAAAAAAGAGAAAAAGACACCAGTCTGGTTGCTGTTTTCGCTATAAAAAAAAAAAGAAAGAAAAGGTTTATTGAATTTTATCCAGGGCGTATTCCTGCCCCTTTGGAGGGCGAGGGGGCGAATGTCCCATCGTCAATTCCTCTTCCGGCTCTTGCTGACCGTCTTGGCGGGCACGGAGACGGGGGTGGCCATTTGGTAGAGGGTGGAGGAGATCTTCTGGATGTAGTAGAGGGCGACCAGGGAGAAGATCAAACTGCAGGGGAAGAGAGAGCAGGGAAGTTGCCCAGGTTAAGATTGTTCCCCCCCCCCAGGAAAGGGGAGGGTCTTTCCACCCCACACTGGAGTGGGGAACGGATGCTCTCCAGGGGGAGGGCCAAGGCGAGCTTCCCCCAGGACTGGGAGGGTGGGTAGAAGGTGGATAGACAGATAGATGAGTCCTTCCTTCCTCTATTCCTTCCTTCTTTTATTCCTTCGCTCCTTCCTTCCTTCCTTCCGCTCGTTTCCTAATGTTATCTGCTTTTCTTCCTTCTTGTCTTTTTTCCTTGTCCTTCCTTCCTCTACTTTTTCTCTCCCTTTCCTCTTCCTCTGCTTCTATTTCTCCTTTCTTCCTCTTCCCTCCCCTCTCCTCCAATCCTTTCTTTCCTTATCTGCTTCCCTTTCTTTTCTTCCTTCCGTTTTTTCCTCCTTCCTCTACTTCTTTCTCTCTTTTCTTTCCCTTTGCCCTTCCTTCCTCCATCTTTCTTCTCCTTCCTTTCCTTCCTCTCCTTTCCCATCTATCTATCTATCCCTCCCTCCTTCCTTCTCCAATTTCCGTCCCTTCCCTTCCTTCCTTCCTCTGCTTATCTTTCTCCTTTCTCTCCCTCCATCTCTCCCTCCCAACAAGGCCTTTCAAAGTTTTTTTTTAAAAAAAAAACTAGGATTTTTTTTTGGCTCACATTCCTTATCCAGGTGGGATTCTTTTAAACTCCTTTAATTGCCTTAGAGGTGGGCCAAGTCCTCCCCCCCCTTTAGACTTAAGGCGTTGGGCTCCCCCCCCCTCATAGTTAAGCTACACTGATAATATTCAGCTGCTCTTCCAAAACGCAGAAATCTCTTTCTCCAGACTTCAAGCCAGCCGACGTGCTGAAATCCAGACCACCCCTTAGCCAGAATTGTTTGGAATGAGGATCTGTGTCTGGATGAACAGAACAGAATAACAGAGTTGGAAGGGACCTTGGAGGTCCTCTAGTCCAACCCCCTGCTTGAGCAGGAGACCCTGTACCATTCCAGACAAATGGCTGTCCAATCTCTTCTTAAAAACCTCCAGTGAGGCAGCATCCACAATTTCTGGTGGCAAGCTGTTCCACTGATTAATTTTTCTCCCTGTCAAAAAATTCCTCCTTACTTCTTGGTTCCCTCCTTGATGAGTCTCCATCCGTTGCTTCTTCTCCTGCCTTCTGGCGCTTTGGAGAATAGCTTGACTCCCTCTTCTTTGGGGCAGCCCCTCAAATACTGGAACATTGCTATCATGTCTCCCCTAGTCCTTCTTTTCACTAAACCAGATATACCCAATTCCTGCAACCGTTTAGCCTCGCGGCCCTCCAAAACTGGACACAGTCTTCCAAGTGTGGTCTTACCAAGGCATTATAAAGTTTAATTCATCCCCCTCCCCAATTTAATCTCTCTCTCTCTGTGTGCCTCTCCCACCCCCCACCAGCCCACCTCTGTCCTTACCAAGTAGTGACACACACTCGGTGAATCAGTCCTGATGCAAACAGGGCCAGGAGGAGACAGGAAATAACTGTAGATGGCGGGGGAGGAAAACAAAAAAAACCAACACAAAATCCAGGTAAAAATCAGGATAATCCATTCAGCTCCCCCAAAGCACCCACCCTGTCTGCATTTGACTCACTTTCAGGAAAGACCTTTGCCTGGAACCCTTTGCCGAAAATCAGGCTTTCGAGGTTGTTGAAGGCCTTGCGTGGGTCCGGGGTCAAGGACGACAACCGTAGGAAAGGCAGGGCCTATTTTGC